TTTATTATGAGAAACCACTTAATTAAACTAATTTTAGTAAATTGAGTTTAACCTCACTTCACACACACACACCACCGGGTTGACGGATGACAGATTTCATTTCTTCCTCTTCCAATTATTTGGTCTTCTTTTTTGGTGTCCTCAACCTTGATTAGTATACAGTTCAATTATGTGGGGAAAATATATTTTAAAGAAATTAACTTTTTAATGCAACTCAAAAGTGCAGAATACATGAATGTGTAATATCGATTTAAGAATGTAAATATTTTCCTCTTTTTTTATGGATGGATAAGTGAGGAAAGTTTCCGATCTTTTTGAATGTTATATCAAAATTTTAAAATTACAATTTTGTTTGTTATAAATAACACCTTAAGTACTTCAAAAATATTAACATTTTTCTTAGTGAAATAGGGAATTCTCGATAGAAAATAGGTAAAAAAAATTTTGAACTTTGTGACAATATAAAAACAGTTTTAACTAATTGTATTACAACTATTAGGATCAGGAAAACTGAAAGAAGATTCTATGGGACATTTAGGATACAAGAGGCTTCATATTTTATTATGGTGAACTAAAAGGCAAAATACCTATTTAATACTTTTTTCATGTTTCCGTATTATATAGCTAATAAAAAAAGTAAATTTGTGTTCATTTTACTATCCAAACGATGTTTTATTCTTTAACAAAAGTCTCTTATTATAGAGGCTGCAAAAACACTAAACTTTGGAATAAAATTCTTAAGTAGGTATCTACTTAAATACATGTTATTCAAAGAAATACAGTACCTATATATAGAACCTACAACCTGCCTTTGGCACTTCAACCATTACCGACTGTGTCATTATCGGTAGCTGAATATTTTTCTAATATTATACAATTAGAAAGTTTTTATTTGAAATTAATTCAAGAAGCTGCAGTTGATGGAATTAATCGTTAGCTATCCAAGATATAATCTAAAATTTTGAATATATTCATCTAGATTGCGAGATTCTTTTTCGAATGCTCCTAATTATAGTAAGGTAAACCGTATATTTTTAAAGATTGTTTTTTTTTAGTTAGTTACAAGTATTTTAAGTATTACTGCACGAGGTTAAAAGCGAAATAAAATAACAGTCATTTATTGATTGGGGACGTTCTTAGGCATGTAATTTTATTAAAATTTTAGTTCCAGCTTTTTATATAGGTATTATAACCATCTGTGATAATTTCTGGTAGGTATACAAATCGCTTCTATTATATTATTTACGGAGCATATATTTTTGCAACTACTTATGGGAAATACTGTTTTTATGTTTTAATGGAGGTTTTTTAATTCCCTTTATTTCGAAAATGTTCCTATTTGTCTTCTTTATTGAGGATACATTTTAAAAATTATCCGAAAGAATAACTAAAGATTACGAGCATAAGCAACATTAGAAACAAGGAAAATTAAATCGGTTATAGGGACTGAAACTATTGGAGTTAGAAATTCACAAATTATTGAACACAAATGGGTAAAAATACACCAAAAATATTTGAAAAATCAGCCCTTGAGGGCATCGAGCCCAGGTGTTTGGTATTCCGAACCAACAACCTAATCTAACCCACCACATGAGAAATGAGCGTATGAATATTATATTGCTCCCATCAGATCAGGAGTACTTATGTTCTGGAAGTTATTTTTGAATTTTCTTTACCACATATAACAGAATAAAATAAACAAGCATGTATACAATAAAGAAGGTATATTTATAAAATTAATTCTAGATGCGATAAAAACACAAGCACATTAAACGGTGCGAATTTAGAAAAGCATGAATTATTGTTTTTCAAATTTGTTTTTGCCAGTCATTATTTGCATATGTCAAGATATATTGGTCTCAGTAGTTAATGTTATGTTAATGTCTCGTCTGTCAGAATCAATTAACATCTATGATTGATTGATTGATTGATTGATTGATTGATTGATTGATTGATTGATTGATTGATGCAATTGTCTTTATTTGCAAATTATTCTTCTAATGAGACAGAGAAATAAGGCTAAATTATCATATTTATGTCCGTTTATTAATACATATCGTAAAAACATATTAACAAGAATTGGTTACATTTCCCACCCAAGACAAAGAGCCACATCTCAAAATTGCTTTGGTTTAAATCCGATTTAAGAATTATAAATCAGCAGCTAAAGATAAAATCAATTTTTTTTTACTTTGAACACTTTCATCCCAGTGCACGAATAAACTGAAATGTAGGTACCGAAATATCAGAAGAGGGTTCCGGTTCAAAGCGATCTTCTGATATACGCTATCGCTGCTATGAAATACTATCGTTATTACTGTCGCGATCTCTAGAGATTGTTTGGAAAAGATAGGATGAGAACGCGATCACAGCTCGAGAACATCAAGTGTAAATGCTCGAGACTAGCACAGACCGCGATGCGACGGGATCGCGATTGCCTAATGCGTTTCCACCTTAAGAGTTTAAAATGATATTTCATTTAAGCAGTTAGTTACTGCTTTAGGGCCGATTCCACCGTTGTGTTAAACGAAGATTAAAAAGACATTTTTACATTAACAATGTCATTTTATTCTTCGTTTAGTAATTTAAACTTCGTTTAACATAACGGTGGAATTGGCCCTTACACATACAAATCCGTAACGCACTTTCTAGGTTTGCCAATATTCTAGGTGGATTCTATTCTTTCAGTGTTGTTTAAGCAAATTCCTGGGAGCCAACGGTATATTTGGAATATGTCTTATTTGAATAATCTCATTTTCAAGTTCAACAATAAGATATTGGTTAGTGTTAACTTAAAGTGGTTAGTTTTTTCTGTAATTATAAATGGTTATATTTTATATAAAATTTCTATAACCATATTTTATAATTACTCTTAAATATACAGGGTAGTCCATAAATGAGAGGCTGACCAAACATACACTTAGATTTACCGTTTCTAAAAATGTTTTGCATTTTCATTCATTTACTATGTTGTATAAGAATATAGGGTGTGTCAAAACGAGAGGTTACATTTTCTCTATTTTTTCAAACACTGTTATATTACTAATGAATGAATTAATTAATTAATTTCTTTATGAATATTTTTTATTTTGTTTGGCATTTCTTATGCCAAAACACATTTTTGTATTTTATTTAAAATGGTTTATATTACTTGTGATGTCGACGGAATAGAAAACCATCCATTACTTCTTACAAGTGAGTTACCAAAAATTTTTAAATTTTATCCTAAATAGGTCCATATTTTCAGAAGCCAATTAGAAAAATGTAATGATAAAAATATCAAAATCTCGAGAAAAATACGCCTGGGTAGCTATTCTTAAATTCGTGGGAATAGAAAACTGGTTATCCCTTTTTATCTGCAACGCACAAAAATTGTATTTTTGCCTCATTCTTCTTTCAAAATTTCAACTCCCTGAGATACTCTGAGAATAGGAAATAAAAAATGAAGTTTGGTTCACTCCTCATTTATGGACCACCCTGTATGGAAGAAATTTAGTAAATTGAACTTAAAATGAGTCATATTTATGACATGTTCCGAATTAAATCAACATTCCGCTACGAAATAATGCAATCTATTCCCGGGCCCCCAAGAGGGAAAAAATAATTAAAAAACTAAAAAAATTTTACCAGTATCATTGAAAAAAAAAAAAAAAATAATAAAAAAAATGTTGGAGCGCATATGTCAGGAAGCGCATTTGTCGGGGCGCATTTGTCGGAGCGCATTTGTCGGGGCGCATTTGTCGGGGCGCATTTGTCAGGACGCTTTTGTCGAGGCGCATTTGACCGGGACCAGAGATAACAGAGATATAAGAAGTCATTCATAAAATATAATATTCATGGTGCCAAGAACAATTCGCACTCAAAACATTCTATTTCTAGACGCGGGGCGAGGCGACGAAAGGTGAGAAGTAAAAGAAGGGATACAGTGAAGAATTTTACATAGTTTTATCAATGAATAACTGCCCGAGCTTTTACTACTTAACGTAACTTTTCTTGCCGGTGTAAGCCCTGTTGCCACTTCCAATCTAACATCACTAGGTTTTGGAATTTGTTGAAAATTATTACATCTAATTTAATGAAATTACATCTAATTTGGTTAAAAATGCCTATTTTTTGTTCTAATGCTCTTTGTAGGAAGTATTTTTTTATAATTATTTAAAAAAAATCATTTACATTAGCCCTTATGATCGAAAAAAAATTTAAATGTCTCAGTTTCAACCGTCTACAAATTTGTATAAAAAATCTTCTTTTAGAAATATACCTCTCATTTGACGAAAAACGAAGGCCTAAATGAAAAAAAACTATTCTTTATAAAAGTTTCGCCTATGTATTGACAAGGTAAAAGTACTTTCCTCATATTTGTTGCTTTTAAATTAACAAAAATATAGCAATAAACCATTAGTGATGTCATGGTTTTACTAGAAAGCAAACATTAAAGGCAGAGCATATCGACTCTTTATGCATCTATCTCAGTATTGAAATGTATGCAATCAGTTTGACCCCTCTTATATTATTTTATACAGGGATTATTGATTTATCCACCATGTTTAATAGGGTGTACTAATTACTTCAAGATTTCTTTTTTATTTTTAATGTAAAATGAAAATAAGAAAATATAAACTATTTATTAAAGGTATTTATTGAAGTATCAATTATAAACAGTAAGGCTATTGCTTTGCAAAATACAATAAATCCCCAATATAAATAAATTATAATAATAATAATAATAATTGGAAGGAAGTATATAAAGCATAAATTAATAATATTAAAATTTATAATTACAAGACTTTCAAACTAATCAGAATCAGATTCACCACACGAATCAACATTTTCCAAAACATTAGCGGCTGTGGTCAAACTATTTCTGCAGTTTTTCTGTGCCATACAGGTGCAGGAACCGACACAGTCAATTTTTTTTCCTTCATTTGCAAATTTTGCTTCCACAGTCTAGAACAGAATATTATTTTTAGAATATTGTATAGTATGTTTTTTGCATTTGCATGATGTAAGTTCTGTTATGTCTGGTGGCAGGTCGGGCAGAGTCTTAAAAGTGGGTATCAGACTTCCATCTTGATCTACTTTCCATCCATACTCTTCAACATTAGGAAGCTGCATCTGGGTTTAAAGAGGTTAGCCAAATATTTAGCTGGTAAAAACGTCTTAAACAATGTAGTTTTAGGGCTTCTTCAGTCGGTGGTAATTTAGCGATGGTTTTTGAAGAGGTCAATAATCCCCTCAAAATGTTAATGAAAGTAACATTGGCAGTTTTGAATACATTTTTAGGAAAATTCTTTCAAGATTAGAGAATATGTTTTCAGAGTACTGATCAGTGCCAAATCCATCCAAAAAGTAATGGTTTTCAAGGTAGGTTTTCCAACAGGTTTTGTTCCCAATGCCGGACAATTAAATGGTTGTATCACAACCGGTCAGAATGAAAAGCAGGCATATTTTTTTAGAAGGTTTTCATCCAAATTTAAATAATGTACTGCTAGAAATCGTCTTGAGTCTCCTCGCCCTGTTCTGAACCATATATCTTTAGTCAAAAACTTCTTAAAATAAATTAATAAGACATCTGTATCGTTGCAATAAATAATGCAGCGTGAATGCACCGAATTTTTGGCTGACAATACAATGAGATACGATTATTAGCGTCTTCGTGATTTGAATTTAAAAAAATCGTCTTTTGATGGTTCATTCTTCTTTCCATATTTATTGATTTTCGCGAATCCACCACTAGTTAGAAATTGAATATGCTTTTGCTGAATGGAGTTTTGAAGAAGTTGCTCTGGCAGAAAATGTGTTAAACGTCTTTTGTTAAATATCTAATGAATAAACAAGTTCTATTGTTGCGGAAGTGGAATATTTGGTCGGTCAATTTCTATATCAATTTATTTCTGAAATCCTCTCTTTTGACGTGTTGTATTTTTGATAGAATGTCCTTTATAATGATCAAATACCACATCTATCATTTGAGTATTAAATTTATTTCTAAAAATAATGTTTACAAATATATGAGCATATTCTTTAAATGATATGCAACTTTTGGGCTTTCCTATTTTGATATAATTTTTGTCTCTGCTACTTGCAGCAACAAATCCGTAATTAAAATTTTAAACGAAAACTCATAACTTACCCAAATATATTTAGCTGCAACAGGATGAATGTAGATATAATAAAGATGCAAAAATGTCTATATTTTTTCCCAATTTATTAGGTAATTTAATATATAACACATACACTTATTAATTCTTTAGTAAAAACAAATAACAATATGACACATTGCCCTATGGAACATAACAAGTTTTATAATAAAAAAAATGAAAAATCCTACCATATCAATAATGTGATACATCAGCCCGCACGTAGAGAGAAACAGAGCTATGCTACGTTTGAAGGTGAAGAGAAAGATACACTGAGAGTCGATAAATTTGACGGTAAGAATTAATTACAGCATAAACCTATGACATCTCTCATCGTTTATTGTTATATCTTTGTTAATTCAAAAGCAAAAAATATAGTGTTTACTCTGTTACCTTCTCAACACATAAGCAAAAATTTTATAAAGAATGTTTTTTTTTCATTTAGGCCTTCGTTTTTTGTTAAATGAGTGGTATATTTAAAAAAGACGACTTTTTAACTAAATTTTTGAAGGGCTAAAACCAAGATATTTACGTTTATATTTTTTTTCGGCCGTAAGTGCTAATGCAAATGATTTTTTTTAAATAAGTATAAACAATTACTCCCTACAAAGATTTTATTGTGCATTTGACCAAAAAATTAGTATTTTTTTCTCTATTCGGTGGTATCAATATCTGGATTTTTGATGATAGTGCCCTTCTGCACAGTCTAATTTTGTATTAACTCCGGAAAAAGGGTTACCTTATCATGACCTTTCATCTGTGAAAAATTCAGCTATGTGACAAAAGAGTGGGAGGTGAATCGTTTTCTTGAGCGAATATTTTAATACATACACTAACAATGACAACAGCGGATATTATACCCACAATATATTGTGATTATACCCTACTGTGTCCCTTAGAATATGTCTTATTCACGGCCGCACGATATTTGTTAATAGTTACATCTCCTGGTTATCTCTGACCGGGACGCAATTGTCGGGTAACCGAAACTTTGTTGTTTTTGCCAAGCATCGCACTATGGTACAGGATATCCTAAACCTGCCCAAAATTAACAAACATAATGAAAATAATAATTTGACAAAATTAGTAGTATAATTCATTTGACAAATCATCAGCTCATATTATTCCATAAAAATTTCACTCAAATATATAGTAGGCTGTGCGTCAAGACAAGCGAAATTGACATTGTATGTCATTTTTGTTTGTAGGTGAAGTTTGTAAATGTGCGATATCAAAACGATTATTTTTTGATGAATTTTGATAATGGCCAATATTGATCAAGGTGAGGTTAATTTGTTTATGTAAAATACATTGAAACACTCCGTAATTTTAAGTCGTAATTATTTAAAATCTAGTATATGATCTCCTTTTTGCAATTTATTAACTAAAAATAAAGGTACAAAAAAGTGTCAGATCTAATATGGGCGTTTTTTGTGTCTTTAAAATCTAGACTGATTTCCTATAAAAAAACAAATTGCATATCAGCGCGTAAATAGAATTTTTTGGCTTCAAAACTTTACCCATGAAAAAACTATTCGATAGAAATATTTATTTGAAAAATTTTTCTGTTTTAAAAATTATTTAACTAGTTTTTCATATATTTTGCAATTGTCTATATAAAATAAAAATAGCATTCTTAAAGTTTGTAGCACGAGTTTGACTTTTAAAATTGTCTGAGGGTTAAAATTAAATTATAATAATATTTTTAATACTTTATCTTCTTGCAATTTAACCAAAAACTCAAAACAGTTGAATATCTTATTGTTTTAGACGTTTTGCGACTCAAAAATGAAGGACTTTTCAATGTTTGGCTCTCCGGAAACAACCCTACCCTTAAACTCGTTGCTGTCGCCAATTTTGTTTTGAGAAATTATGATGAAAATGCACCAGAATATTACATTAAACATGTACGGAATAAATCACGTTTATTTTGTGTCACTTGAAATCAAAATGGTCCAAAGTTAACAGAAATAAATCAGCTTTTTTGAGTAAATTCAAAGGATGGCTCCAAGGCTATACGATCTTTGAGAAAAGTAGAGAGGCAACAATTTTACATAATAATTTGTTGACCGCACGAACAGCAGCAGTAGGTCGCCCAAAATTGCCATTTTCCGACAGAAGTATAAAGTCACAAAAAGGAGATGCATTGAAATTGTCGAGGGAGACGATTCTAGTTTAATTGTAAGTGCCGTCGTAGCTGCTGCAACAGCAAGTGGAAATAAAGACTTATCATGTGTCCCACAAGAGCTTCTAAAATAAAAAAAGTGTTATTTTCTACTAAGGCCAAGAATCCAATTAAATATACCCCTTAAGAAGCGTTATCATTTCTACACTATTTCACCCATCAGAGCCTACCTTTGAAACCATGGTACTCTTTTGTTTAAAACTTTTTTGTTCTTTATTTTGTCTCTTTCAACCATGAGTACGCTTGATGAGTGATTTAGTAATTTTTAAGACTAAACATCAGATTCACTTCTAGGGACCGCGGGTTCAGTTGTGCCATCTTAGGAAAAAAGTTCTGCAGAGCCCGAGATGGCACATCAGAACCACGCGAGTGACATTTTTGTTTTGTCTTGAAATTAAAAGGATCATTAAAAATAATAACATCATTTCATATTAAATATTTATTTAAATTTAACTAACAATAAATCAAATCTTTAAATTCAATACTAACAAATTTTGATCTCCGTTAACCACCTCCAATCACTCGAATCACACTTGGAGAAACATGTTCCACACTGAGGTGAACGCACCTCCTCTCTTAACATTTGACAAGTCAACGTCTTTAAGTGTCGCTTGTCACCACTGTCATGTGGAAACGGTTAAACAACTTAAATAAAAATAAAAATGAATAGATAAAGAAATTTAAATTTGAAAATATTAATAATACTAATAATATGATTTAGCAAGTTCTAAATATCCCGAAATATCTAATTTTGGGAGTGAGGATGACCAGGAACTTGTTGGATACATTGTGGACAGTAGGTAGAATTTTTTATAATTATATACATATATTATATACATATAAAAAAAAAACCTTCAGTTTTTTACTTTGGCCTTCTGCGTTTAACTTTCTTCATATTAACTATTGTATTCTAGATTCAAATTTCAATATATATTTTCCACAGTCACCCTCTATTTGTAAATTTCTTTAAATTTTAACTAATTTGTTAACTTGTTTTAAATTGTGCGAATGGTGAAGGTGGTATAATTCCTTAATTCCACACAAGCTAACTTGCTTCTGGAGATCAGATATGATTTGTAAGGGCTTATCCCACACTCACTATTCCCAATACTGGATTTTTGTCATTTTGTTTGTATCTTTTAATTGTTAATTTGTTCAAACAACCGTATATATACAATTTTAACTCTTGACTTAAAAGTCTTAATCAGATTTATATTTTTTAAATTGTAAGTTTACATCCACAATTTTTGTAGATAAGCACTGATGATGGCTAATAAGCCGAAAGCGCTTTGCATTTATTATTTAAAAAGTTTTGCACGAAATACAAGTCTTTCCTTTTCAATCTAAACTACGTGCACACAGCTGTCAACCTTTTTTGGTTATTTCAATTGATATAAATTTGTTGTGGGCTTCTTTAAAATGTTTATATTTTGTTCAGACAGTGTTTAGGAACCAAATTATATTGAAACAAATAAGTTTATTCAGCTTCGGAATATAAAACAATTTTGGGCAAAATAGTGGGCTTCTGTACCATAGTGCATCGGCCATTTTTATACATTCTGACAGGACGTTAGATTGCCTAATTATTTGGCGGCTTTCAGGATTTTGTGCAACTGCCATCATATCCACTCTTGTTGCACAAAATTTCGTATAGTATGTGTTCACTCTTTTGAAATCCTC